AATTGTAAATTTACATTTACTACCAGTTCGCAAGTCAAGGGCGTAGAGCGGGTAAGAAGAACTGGCAAGAAACTTTCCGCCACTCTTTTTAATCGCCAAGTATTGTCATACAAATTGTTTGAACTGGAGCAAATCAATCCCAAGGATTAAAATCATTTAAGTATTCCTCAAATTTATAAAACGCTTTATTGATTAATTGACGTTTAACGAGGGCTTTGAATTTATTTAGTGATAATTCTCTAATTTACTGTTCATATTTCATTACAGTGCAACATACTTTTCATGGCCGGCGGCTAGAATTGGTATTACCGTCGCCATTTTAAAATGTTAGACTGACATTTTTTATTTTCTGTAATTTCTTGGTAAAAATGTTTTACTATCTACCAGCATCTCATATAATCCAACTAAAATGTATTTATTTTTATTCCTTGCATTATTACTTACAATGGCAAAGTTTTAATTATCGAACGGTTCTGATTGCTAGGTCTCTTAAAAGATATTATACGGCTATATATTATATATATAGACTAGGTCTAGTGGTTAGTACCCCTGACTGCGAATCCATGGGTATCGGGTTCGATCCCCGGCTGAGACAAACATCGATGTGATGAGCATTTGGTGTTGTGCTTAGGTCTTGGGTGTTTAAATATGTATTTATATGTCTATCTATCTATAATATGTATGTATATCCGTTGCTTAGTCCCATAACACAAGCTTCACCAGCTTAGCCTGGGACTAGGTCAGTTGGTGTGAATTGTTCAATCATAAAAAAAAAATATTAATAGTACAGGTAACAAAACATATCACATCAATTGTTCCTAAATTTGTGTCACATTTATTTAGCCTAGAACTGTATTTTCTACATTGTTTTATTAAGACATTTCAATAAATTATTAAGTTAGCCTGCATGACTTAAAATTATTCCCCTTATAATGGTTAACTTTTATTTACTGGCAATACTATCCCTGGCCAAGAAAAGTATGTGGCACTGTACGTCCATTTTTGCGTCCAAAACTTGCTTCTTCACAATGTTTTAAGTCAGGAATAACACTACAACTGGTAAAAACTAAACCTGTAGTTTTTTTTATAGCATAGGAGGGCAAACGAGGCTACTGGACGAACTACAAGGGCAGTCATGTGTGCCCACGTACACCCATTTTAGACCTTCTTTGGCAAACAAATTTTTAAGTCTTGTTCATATTTATACAAATCTAAAACTTTAGATTTCCGAGACTTAGAGGGAGGGAAAAAGAAAGATATGTTAGGACTTAAATTAATTTCATATTCATTAAAATATTAAGTGTCGAAAATTAATACAAATAATAAATTTAATTTTTTATTTATGTCTTCGATAAAAAAAAAACACGTGGCGTTTTAATTTACAATTCGTCATTTCAGATTTCAATAAGTTATTTTGCATAAAAAATAAAATATGTACTAATATTTCATAAATTGTCTTTACGAAATTTTAATTTTAAAAATAGAATTTCTATAAGATAATTCGCCCTTCTCACTCTCTCTCAATCGGTCTCAATCGCTCTCTCCCTTTTCTTCGACAAAAACGCTGCACAATTTCGTGACGTTTCATCCGTAAAAATTTAACCCTCATGCGCCTAAAGAAGTTTCACTTCAATAAATCTGTTTCTTTAATTTGCTTACATACTTAGTATACCTACATTATTTTATCAGTCTGTACCTTCCTATCCATTATTTGCGTGTGCATGTTAATAAATATTTCTTTCTTTAAAACTTCGTTTAATATGTGTAAAATTTCGCAAACAACAACTAAAATTCTTCAATATTCAAAATCATAAAAATATAATCTTATTTCAAACTAGCATCTCAGGAACTTCTATCGGATAACAAAGGCATCGACAGGTGCATGCGAAACAGGAGACTGACAACGTTTGACAATTGATTAATACAATTTCCGTGCATCGTGACAGTTGTATATGGGATTAGTGGGCTGCATCGGAGCTGGAATATTCTGCACGCTATTTTGACGCAATAGAATCAGTGCGAATATTCATCTCTTAAAAATGCGCATTGCAAATTTTATGCAGCTAGTAACTTGTTTATAAGAATAGTTTTTATTTAATAGTAACGGTGAAAGAATTGAAGGAATTGTTCGCCAACGAAACTTGGAGAGAAATTAAATGACATTACAAAAAAAAATATGAAAATAAAATTGAACTAGATAGGACACATAATAATAAGACGACTGGACAAAAGATATATTACAATTGTATCCAAGAGAAGGCAACAAGAAGGTGGAACATCGGTTCAAAAGGTAGATGGTCTGACGAATGGATGGAAGAGATGGACTAAGAAAATGGGCTAAAATATAATAGAGAAGGGCTGGTTGCTAAAAATTATTTAGTTTTTCTTACTAAAATATTTGTAATTTTGTTAGTAAAAAACAATCAAAGAATAGTAGAGTATATGGTTTTGTACTTTAAGCAACAAAGCAATTTCGTAAGGACGAATTCAATTTTCATAACCAATTTTTCGTTCAAAATATATCTCGTTTTGAGATATGTAAACCTTTTTAAGGCGATAACGACACACGTGTATAATATTACGAAATATAAAACATCACAAAGCATGTTGGCGGAATCACAAGTCAGGTCTATCAGGGGGAAGATGGAGGTCTTCGTCCAGAAATGGGTTGAAATAATGGTTATGAACATGACAATTATAGAATGCCGTGATTGAATTATTCAACCCATAACTATTTTAATGACAATATAAATAATAAAGAAATGTATAATCATGGATTCCTGTTTTTCATTAAATTCGTATCTTATATAAATTACTAGCAGACCGGCCAAGCGTTGCTGTGGCTAAGGTTTTAGTTATATTACATAGTAGTAACCTATTCAAGGGAAACGGTAGGAGAACACCAGTCATGGGGACCACCATCCTTTTTTATTGGTAATGCCATTAAATTGTAGCTTATTTGAAACGTTGGTACTTTCAACACAGCGCCATCTGTTAGAATTGTGACTTTCAAATAATAAACAAATATTTTGCAATAAAATAATATTGTGGGTATAAATTGAGATGTAAGCTACCTATCCTATCATTTTAGTTAGATCAAACACCACACGGTGTTCAAATTTGATTGAAATCGGTTCGGTAGTTTAGGAGTCCATAGCGGATAAACAACGTGACACATAAGTTAGTGTAGGTATATCAAGAATTAACACCATTATTTTAATTGACAGTGTAAGGGTGCTTTGTTACGCTTTAAAATTTGGTTTCTACCAAAAACTAAATATATAATTGTTATTCTCGTAACTAGTATGCAATATGAATAGTGTTACTTACTAAAATCTTTAAAAACTAATATCTTTTATACTAAAAATCAAATTTATATTATATTATTATAAGAAACTAGCTGCCTCCGCGAACTACGTTTCGCCTTTATATGATTTATTTACTTAGCCTACCCTTTTAGTATATACATTGTATATACCAACATATGCAATGTACGCTATGCTACCCAGATAATGTTCGCTTTTCCGGAATAAAAATCTAAGTATTAAACAATTATTTTTTTCAATTTTATAAATATTTTTCCAGTTTTTCTCTCCATAAAAACCTTCCTTTTTTTTCAAGGAACACACAAAAAAGACTCGAATTAGTCCAGCCGTCTTCGAGTTTTGCACTTAGCAACTTGTTTTGCGATTAATTTTTAATTATAATAAGTGTTGATAAAGTGAAAAATGTGAACTAGAAGATATTTGTAAATAATATACAAATATTCTAAAAATACTGTACCGACTCTGTTTTTTTTTTTTTATTTTAGGTTTCAAAAGTACTATAAAGTTAGGTATCTCGTAAATAATTTTAGACTAAACTCATTTAAAATGTGTACTCAAATATGACAGGTAACCTCTGAGATTACTTACAAAGTGCGTATAGTCTCAACTAAAACTTCGATTGTACGCAATTTTTACGAGCGCGCACTCTATACAGTTTTGTTTAACACAGCCGAGTGTAGAGTATAAAGCCGGAATTTGGAACCGTAATAAACTCTGAAAGGGCTGTAAAAGTGCAATAACTGTAACTTGGGGAGAGCTGATTTTAGTGGCGAGGGACCCGCCTTACGTTACCTATTAATTGATCTATAATGCCCCCGATCATAACTCTTACGGAGTATGCCACTTCACGACATTCGCACGTCATCATAAAAGCTTTAAGGCTTTCTTTAGGATTATGAACTTATGTTTTTATTAAACAATGTAAAATTCAGTTCATATTAGGTTTACGCTTTTAGAACATTCCCTATATCTATATCCATTCGTTATTACTACGAGTAGTAGGTGTTGTAAGGAAAAATAACGGACATTAAAATCTTGGAACTAAAATAATGACAAAATTAAAAATAAATCCCACTCTTTCATTAGTCTCAATGAATAGTTTTCAAAGATCTTTAACAAGAAACTATTCTACGTTTAACTTAAAATAAGTTATAAGCATTTGTTACAAGATCAACATAACCGTATAATAAGTATATATAGTAATTATAAAAACAATACTATTTTAGAACTCAAAATTTTTGTTTTACCATCTATCGGCAAAAGAGAAAAATTATTGTAAATATATAAAACATTAGGGTTCTTAAATTCTCTGTCATTGAAGAAGTGCAAAGTGTAGTTTTTACCGTGTTTAAATACCTAAACGTTAGATGGCGTTAAAATAGAATTCTCGAATAAAATAGTCTAAATATACGAAACAGTTTTATAAAATACAATTAAATAGAACTTTCGGCATAATTTTTAATATTAAAAATCAATTTTAAGTCTACTCATTGTTTAATTTAAAAACGTCCGTCTATCTAATTCTAGGCAGAAGGCAATTCGTTTTTCGTGTCTAAGAAATTGAGCACTAGATGGCGTTGTATATATATTTTTTTTTAATGAAGGTGGGTAGGTTTTATTAAATGTAGGGAAATAATCTTTGAGATTATACATAGCAAGACGCCGAAATTTGGCCTATTTGTTTAAAGACCCAGGATTTAAATAATAATCAAAACTAGGTAACGCAAAAAAGTTTCTATCCACGCCATCTGTCTTCTATAAAAGTATTATATTACTATTTTTCTGACTACAAAAAAGCGGGTGTGACCTGTATGTATTATGTATATGATATTTTTGGATATCTATATATGCGATTTAAGCTTCTAAGGTGCGCTAAATTTTATAAGTGTATATTACCGAATATCTCGGAAACTCAAAGTCATATCGGCAAGATTCTAACTTCAACACAAAACATCAGTAGTTCTTGTGATGTTATTTGACAGATATTTGAAATATGTTAATTTTACTAGTAAACATTTCATTAAACATAGTTTTCTATGATTAGAAAAATACTTACGAATACAAGCATGATGAAGAAGGCAGCTATGTATGAACTACGCGCAGTCAGCATCGACACGAAGCGATAATGCTCACCGGTGATCACGTTCCTATAATAAGTTTTTATAAAATAAAAAATTTTTGTTATCTGTAAAGTTTACGGTTTACGGACGATAATTTAACATGATAACATCATAAGAAAACATTGATGAAAAATTGCATACCATGCATGTACTTATTAGTTTAGCTTCTTCAACGGATAGATATTAACATTATCACTAGAGAAGTTTAATTTTTCTGTAGTACTAATATAATCCATCATATTACTTAGGCCAGTATTCTAAAACGTGAAACAAAAATCTAATTTCAAGATTTGTCAAACCATTTATTGTGACATATTTGACAGCACTCTAGACGAGGTTGAGACTTGCGACTTGACTGGGACTAGAGATCCTAGTGACGAATTATGATGGAACGTGCTACATTTTTTGTCTTACACACTTACTTCCAGTTATTAATTTATTTTAAGTAGATGACTAAGACACTTAATAATGAAGCACTCAAATCATAACAAAATCTAAGCAATTAGTTCTGCAATTTAATAATAATATTAATTTCGTTAAAAACACGTGAAATTAGTTACCAATTATTTTACCCGCATGAGGGTATTTGGAAAAAAGTTGAGGGTGTTAGATGAATTTTTGTGATGAAACTATGAAAAGTTCCGATCATAATAAATAGACTTTCTGTACATTTGTAAGTGATTTATAACCTCAACAGCATACTTAGGTAGTTAGGTAGTTGACTCTATTAAGAAATCTCAAATATACCATACAGTTACAATTTGTAGTAATTATACAAAAAAACTACCTATACCGTAAAAAAACATCTGTTAGGTTAGGAAGTTTTGGCATAACTTGCATTATATTTTATATTGATAATAAAATAGCTCTTGAAAAATAAATTTTGTACAAATAAAAAAAAATACCTTAGATATCCTTTATTATCCTCTTGTTCTGCGAGACTCTTAATGGAGGCCATAAGCAGATCGTCATAGCCAAGAAATTCGTCCAGAATAAAACGCGAGAACGAATCTCCGAAGCATTCATCACGCTGCGGGTCTAACGTGACTATCTTCACGGGGATATTGAGCTGGAGTCTTGCGCTTGGCGAGAGCCGCAGAAACCCGTACTCCAGGGAATATTCCAGAATGTAGTCATCTGTATAACAATTGGAATAGCGTGATTAAATTATATGTTTTACGCCGAGATTCCGAAAACCACCATTTATAGCTTCATACCGCGATTTACTCACAATATTCCTAGCGTATTGTCAGACATGTGAAGGTTTTGAAGTATTTCTGGGATTACTGTTAAAACAAATAAACATCTGTTTTATTATTTTTATTGAACACTTATGGTTACGCTATTGGATGGCACGGTACGAATTGTTGTTCGGAAAAAATATTCGTAAGTAATGTGTTTTGTGTATGTCTATTAATTGCTGTGTTTACATTTACGTGTTATATTTTTATTTGTATTTTTTTTTTACTCATGCATATTTTTGAAGTTATACTTCTTTAGGCACGTTATGAAAAATTGATGAGAGTGAAATTTTACGATGCGCGCGCACCGTGACACAAAATTAACAGAATGAAGTTGCCCACGGAAGATGCTACGGCATTGGCCATAATTTAAAAACAACATTCGAATAATAATAGAATTTATGTTACACTTAATGTAAGAGAATAATAATAAATATTTATTTATTTAATTTTTCAAATGTAAACTGAACTTTATTGACTATAGTGATAATGTCAAATAACTATAACTTCTTACGCGTGTACATATAAGTACACACGCACCCTTTTTTTACAAACCATATATGTGAAACAATTTACGGACACTTCCACAATTATAAATTATACATATATATTTTTTACATATCTTGTATTTGTGATGTGTCCGTCATGTTTCCTTATTGATAAATAAATAAACTATACAAAATGACCAATCCATTCTTTCTTCATAATTTTATAACGTGTAACAATTTTAACTACCACTACAGCTATTGAAGGAGGTCCGGATTCCATGGACGTTGGTAATTAGACCATTTAGCTGTAAACATTTACACAAACAGTGTTGTAAAGAAATAACATAGGTTAGGTTTATTTTGTTTCGATTTTCAAATTTTTTTTTTTTTTGAGAATTTTTCGCAGCCAGAGTTATGTAACCTGTAACTATGGCGAGGGGGCCGATGGCTGGCCATGCGTCATACTCGTGAACGGGTGCTACTTGTTGGTGGTGGTTGGTTACTGATCGTACTTGAATTCGTGCATGCGGTGATATTAGTTATTTCGACTATGTGTTTGCGTGTTGTTCCCACGAGAATGTAAATGCGTGCTCCTATTTCACCATGCCTCCTGCTGATAGAGGACAAATATTTGTTTTTAATTTATGTTATTATTATTAATTACTTAAGATGTCATGCGGAACATGGTGTAATGGTTGCAGCCTTTACAAACGTTGTGTAAAAAAAACATGGCGATTAAAAAGAGTGGCGGAGAGTTTATTGCCAGTTCTTATCTTCCGTTCTAACCCTTGATTTGAGAACTGGCACTAAATGTAAAGCTAGAAGCATTTCATATACAGTTCCTTTTTTTGACGTGTACATAAGTGTACATTGTGTTACCTATATGATTAAATGATTTTTGAATTTTTGAATTTTAACTTTTAAGTTAAGTTATATATAAATATTTTAGATAATAATTAGAAGTGTTAACCAAATGTAAACAATCATCGTACACTTGAAGCCAATATTGAGCCGTGAGTTTTTACCACACTCATAAATGGTATTTGAACATTCTCGTTTCCGATAATATCCAATAACATAAGTGTCATTTAGATTTATTAAACCTTAGATAAGGCAAGTTAGTTTTTGTTAGCGTCGCAACCCCTCTACCCCTAACTTTAGGTATGTTAGTTATAAGCTCATATTTTAAACCATTAAAGTCAGTTGTTACCCAGCTTCAATCAAAGCGTTTTATTTAAACATCTCCACACAACAATCGCCACCGAACTTTATCCCAGCTAATAATAAATTAAAATAAATACCAACGCGATCCACTTGTGAAAATGCAAATAATATTAGTTACAGAAACATGAAAGTTTGAAGAAATAATTATTGCAATATCAATGTAAAGCGTGCAATAAAAATCATTGTATTCATCATGAAAAATAATGAATCCTTACCCGATTCTGATCGCAGGAAATGAATTTTTTGAATTACACAAATTAAGGCATTCGACTGTAAGAACCACCCACTTACAAAGTAGATTAGCGCAAAAACTGAGTATTAATTTTATTTAAGCTGATTATTAAGCGCTAACAGGATTTTCTGTTAAACACGTTACCAAATTACTGATTCGAAATGTATACTACAAACAAAGTACGAAAAAACCCCATCTTATTAAGCTTCACATAAAACCACTACTGAACAATAACAAAGATAGTTCCGTCACTTGTGTATTAGGAAAATTTAGAAAATTAAATAAGTTCACATTTGAATTGATTTTAGACTGACTATTGTTACGGGGCATTCCATCAGTACAGTCTCTTTTCATAACAGCGATAACACAATGAGACAGAAAGAGACAAAACACTACTTTAATTAAAGAAGACCGATTTTTATGAATAAGTAATAATTGTGTCTTTTGGTCCCTAAAGACTAGCTTCTTTAGCATTCTTTTGTTAATAAAAACTGCTGAATAATGGAAATAAGTATGTACAGAGCAATTATTTACTATGTACCAAACTGTACAAAATCTTGCTTTATTTATAGACAAGGAGATGAAATGTTTCAAAAGCAAGAGTTACTGCTATTAAGATATTTTACAATGAATAGATTCTTTATGGCCATTGTGAGGATAGCATACCCATAATACTACAAAATTTATCAATGATCCATAGACAGGAACTTTATCATATTTGTCAAGGTCTTTTGAGTTAATGAAAGTGTCATTATATAAAATTAAAATAATGTTTTACTATATAATTACCTGTAGATGAATCATTTGAAGCTGCTTCATCCACTGATTCCTGAAAATATTGTTTGTTTATGAACTTTTTAATAAAATGCCACAGATTATTTTCACAAAAATCACCTTAATTGTCAGTACCATATCAATGAGGTATGCTGCATACTTTAATGCATATTTTTATATTAGAGACAGTTCTTCTATCTCGGGAATCAAACCCATTCTGACCTAATGCTTTAAGCATATAAACTTGTAAAGATAATTTAATGTAAAAGTAAACACCTATATATATTTATATATTTTTTTTATTGAAATTTATTGGTTATTCACCTTGAGTTATGGATCACTTTTTAGTAAACTTTGCTCTTTTATCTTATCATTAAAAGCAAAGTCATAATTACTTTGCAATTCATTGTTTTTAGTGTTTCAATAAATATTTAAAGAATTTTTTCCATTAATTTTCCAAAACACACTATAATAAGGAATAAAAAATTAAAAACAGTTTAAAAACTTACATCAACTAATTTTGAATCTCTATCCATATCTTCTACTAGGCCCATAATTCCTTCCCAAATAGATGATGTTGGTTCAACTTCCGCTCCTGGTATTATTGTTGTATTTGAGTCAATATTCTCATTACGAGATGGTGTATATCCCGTTTCCAGCATTTGTGTGAGTCCCATATCATCATGTTCATCATGTAGTCTTGTGATATTACCATAGTCTGTGCCATCACGAATATACTCATCATCAGTGTCATCGCTTGTTGATGATTCAATGTTGATGAATCTGAAATTTCATTTAATAATAAATAATAGTAATAAGTATGGGTATATACACTTAATGCAATGCAAGTCTTAGTATTATTTATATTTCTCAGGACTTAGCGATCTGTGGCCTACCACAGGATGAATCATATAGCCTATGGACACCCAAGGACATACGGGTTGTAAGTCAACTTTTTTAGACTGGAGAAGCATCACAGCTACAGAATAGTTTGTAAATCCTGAACAAATCATAAAGCATGACTATGAAAAAATACTACTAATTTTATACTCAGCAGAGTGTAGAGAGAAGCTTTAGTAATAATCCTGAGACAAATCATAGAGATTCAAAATAATGTAATGAAAAATGAGGGCATTGGAAAAACTAGGATGTTCTTGTCTGAGGGGACCAATGCCACTTGTAATTGACAATATCTTGCCCTTTTATTTTTATATACAGGTTCTATCTCCACATGAAGATGGTAAGTGTGCAAGGATGCAGTGGCAATCAACCATTAAGGTTTATTAGTTATCATTATTCTAAATGATATATATATACAGTAGATACAAATTATATATATGCATGCTTTTTCAATATGAAAAAGCATTTAGACCTGGGAACAAAGACAAGGAGAGTTTTCTGACCTAGTTATGGTACTTACAAACATAAGGCATTTAAAAAACATTTATAGATGTTGTTTTAATTTAAGTTAGATAGATAGGATGTCTGTATTAAAGTACTCAAATAAAATTGTTAAAGAAAGAGTGTATAAAACTTAACATAATAATAATAATTTTAACTTCATAACAAATCTTACCTTTCATTAGTCAACATGCTCATCATAGAATTTAATTCATCCTTGTCTTTTTTAATTTTGCGCTCCTTAGCATAGCTTTGTTCAATGGTATAATCTTGAGACGGGTTTCTCAGTATCTCTACTCTCAGAATGCCCTGTCTGGGCCAGGAATCTTTTATATGATTTAAACAAGTTGTTGGTGTTCTTGAGAAGACTATATGTATATAGGCAAGAACAAAAAATGCAACTAGTGCTTTTACTAACACTAGAAACTCAAAGAATCGTCGGACTGGTCTTGGAAATGTTCGGGCATATGCGATTGCAAATTTAAAGAATAGTGCATGAAACAATCTCTCTCTTACATTAAAAAGAGGATTTTGGTTATTATTTCTGGCACGGTTAACTGTAGGTATTACTGGTCCCCCAGGCAGAACGTTATTTTCTGGATTTACACCTGGAGGTAGATTATTCATGACGTAATGCGGACCTGCAGCATTACTCATTTTTATAAATAATAAAAACTTCTCACTTTGTTCTTATGACACTATTAGTTAATCCACATTTTACTTTGACCTGAAAAAGACCATGTGTCATTTTTAGTATTGAAATTTATTTAACATCAAATTTGGACAAGAACCGTGATATTCCCGAAATGTGTCAAACACATTTAAAACATTTTAACAAATAGACCGTGGTGTTTTACAATCGATCAGTATTCGACATTGACCTCAGCAAGTTTAACATAGCAAATGTGAAATTAACGTGGTGTTTTTATTGCAAACTATAGAAAGAGCTTACGATAAACTAAAAATTTGTAATATAAATTGATACTTTATCCAGATGTGATCGAAGTCCTTATAAATATCCCATAAATTACAAAAAGTAAAAGTAATCAAATATTGCACTGCTCGGATGTCAAATTAACTTTCACAGCCGACTTATATAATAAACATTGACCTTTTATTTTACTGCCTAGTATTTGGCGAAAATACTGTCTTCTATTAACAAACAATTCCACACAGATTCGATGTAGATATTAAATTTTACACAAATCACAATAAATAAAACATGACACTGTTCACTCAATTTTTTTTTATTTGTTCAGTGAGCTCTACAATTCTACATGCAATTGTCAATGTGATGGGTGTCAGCCGTCAGAAGTCACTTCTAAGCACAATTGACTTTACCATAGACATTTATCCATGCTATTATTATCCTCGCTTAATCATAGTTTGTGAGTAGAGAAGAAAAAATATCGGAGGGAAATCACAACATCAATGTTATTTATTATATTGAAGTATAAATCAAAATCATTATTGTATGATTAAAATGTTTTAAAAATCTTCTAAAAGGTGGGGCTAAATCGAGAAACGAAGCACGTGGTAAGTGTGACTCCCGTATGCCAGAAGCGTATAGGATTTTATTGCATATTTTTGGAGTCACAGTTCGCGACTCGCGTTAAGTTTCGCTTCTGAACCAAACCTGAGTGACTTTTATACTAACTTAGGACAAATTGCGTTAAAATATTAATTTACAGATTTCTATTTACAATTATGTTAAAGTTTCCGAAAAACAGCATGAGGAGCACAATGCACATTAATTTGGTGTCACACCAAATTAAATAAAAGCACCTTTAAAATCATTACCTACTTCCATATATGTATATATAGCATTTTATTTTACATAAAAATTATAGTTTGTTATGCTTCCTATAGGAATGGGATGTAACTTTATAAGAAAGGAAAAATATATACGACGAACTGTATACCTCAGTACCTGCATGCTTCAGTTTTTTGAAATTCGGTTAAAAATCATAATAACAATATAAATTATATGGTCGCAACTTTCCCCTGCGCCGATCTTCACCACCCGCTGGGCGCTGTGGCACACTGCTTTCTGCTGTACAGTCCTATAGACTTGTAATAGGGCATAGATTAGATACAATTCTACCTCTGTTTGATTGATATTTTTTACACTCTAGGATGTGATCAGGTTTTTGTGATTTGGGTCTGTGTTAATTGCGCACTTGGAATCTATTGAACTATAAATCTACTTCGGCTGTGTTATTTAAAAAATACTAATTCCTACTACAATTTTAGCAAAACGTTAGCAAAACAGAAAGTACTTAACTAGTAGTCTTACACTTTTAGTGATTATCCTCAATCACTGATAATTTTAATAGATCGTTATTATTTTATTTAGCTTACATACAATAAACTATAAGTATTTTAGACCTCTCGATACAAATAGGTTACATATGTTTCGCCAGTATTTTGATACACCATTGTATAGTCACACCTAGCCAATAAATTGTCTCTATAGAGGCATGGCTAAAATGCACTTATTAGTGCATTGTGCATTTCAATAAAGAAGTAGCTGCAATTTTATGGATCGTTTGTAGTTAGGACACTTTTGTACGCGATCTCAACAATAGGTGTGCGACAAAAGCTTTTCGCACAAAGCTTGAGCAAGGTAAACCTGATTGACGTCTCAATACAGCCTTTAAAGGTATTTTTTAATGTCACCTATTCAACTATTGTGCGTAATTAAATGATAGATTATAAAGGTGTATAGAAACGCTATGTAATAATATGTAGTACTAGCTGGCCTGGCGAACAGTCGATTCTTTATTTTTTTTTTAAATATTTATTCTGCTATTCGGGACACCGGTCTAGCTAGTAAGATAAAAAAAGAAAGTTGATAAGACAACAAATACATTATGTCAAAAAATAAAAAATTACCTTCCCGGAACCCCTCCACTAACACTTGAACTTTATGATATGGTATTAAAGTTCAAATTGACTTTTAAGTATTATTACGAATCTTTTGTATATGAATATAGAAAAGTGTTGGTTTTAGACTTTTTCACTCAATTTTATTTTTCTCTCCTTAAGAACCATCCTCGTACTTCAAGGAATATTATAAAAAAAAATCAGACAAATCGGTCAAGCCGTTTTCATGTTATGTCGTGACAACGGAAAACGGGTTTCATTTTTATATATGTATATAGATGACGTGGTACATATTTTAACCAGCGTCTATGAGAAAACAGCTTAAACTCTCTAGACTCTAACATAGGAAGATGTAAGTGTTACACTGGCCTTACTACGATAAATTACAACGCAGCGACCCGGAAGCCTTCTAGCAATATCTGGACCACGATTATATCATTAGTACATATAAAATAATAAAGTCTGAGTAGGAACATATTTGCATGTTATTCTATTTTATTGTTGCTTAAACGACCAGTCTAGTATATTGTCATTAATGGCTTGACGAAGGCGTTGCCGCGTAAATACATAGGCGAAGAAATCTTCACGCCGTCTTAGAGTGAACAATAAGAAAACTTCTAGATTGAATGATATGCTGTGAAATACTCCTGCTGGTAGACTACCTCATGTTTGTAAATGCATGTTTGTAGATATTTGTCATAAAGCTTTATTTACCATAAAAAATACATAAATAAATTACATATTTCGACCCCTCACTCGTCGCCTCCAAGGAACTCCAGAAATTTTTAATTTATACTGTCTTCAGCCATTATACTACCCATTTATTATATATATCCAAAAAACTGTCACACCTTACCAACTATTCCAAATTATTACTTAGAAATTAGAATATATTCAACGTCCAATTCTTTTAATTAATCAGCGGCATTCGAATACTTTTTGTCGATGGAGCATAAAGGTATATTCATCGGCATGAAAAGAAAGAAACTGATAAAAAAAGCGAGATAACGAGAAGTGAACTAAAATTACGACTCCACTAGCATTATAAATATTCAAAAACCCGGTCCGGAGCGAGCGGGACCAGTTGAAAAAATTGACGTCTCAATTATCGAAGGCCCGAGGTGCGGCATCTAAATTATATTATTCTCACGTTTCTTATTTCCTCTTGTCATCCTTATGTTTATGGGCATTTTATTGTAGGCATACGTGGTAAGGTTTTTGGCTAATAAATTTTGCTAGTTCGTGTTAAATATAAATTGGCGGGAAGGGAAATAATAAACTGCTTACTAAATTAACATAAAAAATCACTAATGTAAAACGAACTTTGCCAATAAGGTTTTTTTACATGAGAAACTTAATAGCCGTCCTAATTTTAGTCTACTAGGCTCATTTTCACCTGTATCTTTAATGCCCTTTTAAATTGGTTAAACACGCTAATTTTAGACGGTAGAAAGAAGATAAAACAAACGATTGACCTAGACCACTCCTACTTCTATACGTTCTAAATACTTTAGGTTTCCTTATGCAATGATTGTGTGAATGGTAAAATAGACAATCTTAGAACACGTATTAAACCTACTAACGCAGCTTCTTTTTCTGCTAATGAAGATGTAAATGCGTGTTTGTTTTTTTCATTTAATACTTTATTTGTTAATGACAGACGGGCTTTCTCAGAACCACAAATAAAAGTGGACAGCTAGATAAGATGAGTACGTCTTCATATTAAGATAATCTACATCACATTACTCAGATTATACTCATGTTTGATTTATAAATATTTGCTAAGAACCGAGAAAACTAACACAAACCGTTTCATGAACTTGACAGTTTTGAAGAAAAGAAAAATATTCCTAAATCACTCGTAATAGAAGTCAAATTCTCAAAAGCAGTTAAATGTTTGTATTTAAATGCACCTGTATATTCTGACAGCTCCCGTTTTTATGTTTGCCTTGTGTTTTACAAATATATTTGCATAGTCTACAGTATTTTGTTATTATTTATTGCAGAGTACAAAATAATAGATGACTGTTGAATACAGATATAACAACATTTTAGAAGGATTTTCGGTTAAATGTGGTCTAGCCATAAATACTTAAGGTCCTATATTATCTTACGTAGGGCATCCAAAGTAGTATACAAACCCGATCGGTCGTAATCAACTCGTTTAATTTCGCTTCAAGTGTATCCGGCTTTCTTTAGGTAACTGAAATGCCACATTTTATTCTTATATCTGCCAATATCAGTATTGGCGTGTCAGTGTACTAAAGAAAAAAAATATAAAATGTCCAATAACCAGACACGTAATTCCAAAAGTAACGAATCGTTTTTCCCTGCTTGATATTACGAGGAACTTAAGGTTTTTTTAAGGCCGAACACATCTGTTTTTGATCCCTGAATCCAGCTGCGATATCTTCATTTCGGTCGGCAGGTGTCACGTGGTCATATTTTACATCTCTTTCTGTCTCCATTTCAAAATACGGTTGTCTCTTTCACTTTTATGGAGCTTACTGGCGTCCTTTTTTAAGACCTTTAGTTCCTGTCGGATACAATATACTTATTTGAATAAAGTGAAGAGATTTGTGTTTCGAGACGTATCCTAAACGAAATCAACCCCACAGCTTATGTAAATAACGTTAGGTGAAGGTAAGATAAATCCCGCATTAAAGATAAGTTATATCTCGTTTGAAATACCATTAGATATTCAAATAGAAACTGGTTAGGTTTCTACTTATTAAGCAATTTATATGATCACTGTTTCATATGTCAATATT